TCTGTTGTTGCCATACTCGCAGAATGATGTCATACAATTTTTGGTGTAAAAGGTTTCCTCCTTTTTTTAACTCTCCATTTATGACAACATTTTTTTCTGCTTTATGGTCTTTTAGAGGCGCGATTGCATTCTTTACTTCCTCAAGTGTTCGTGCTGGTATTTCTATATCTACAGAGTGAAACGTAATATCTGCTTCATTTAAAGTTATACATATAATATATAGATATAGAATATAGTCAGATATAGAATAGAGAAAAATCGTCTAAACTAGCTGTAACGTATCACTCTGTAGATATTTATTTATACACCCGATCAGTACGACTAGACATTGTGAGAAATTCATACACATGTTTATACAGTAAATTTTTAGCCGCCCTTTGATTTCCGTCTCTGCATGAAATTAAATAACACCGACAGGGAAAAGGCTTCAATGCAATAATAAGAAACGTGATATTGAAGCCTCTCAGCCGCACTGTCTGAAACTTCCTGCCGTTTAATATTTTTTCCATAAATATATAAATTTAGCATCTTCTGGCTCTCATCAGACGAATCCACCCCGCGGATATATTTAATAAACAAAAAAATACTAATTTTATGTCGCGTGCTGTAAATGGGGTGAAATAACACCTAAAAAGCTTTGCTTCCCCCTTACAATAATAGCGGGGTTATTTGACTGCGGAAGCGTATTTTAAATATTAGCCCAAAGTAGATGCAGTGGCGCGTCCGGGGTTAGTATCGTGACTTTAAAACTTTAAATTTACGTGAACTATAGTATTGTATTATTCTCAAGCTTGTTGTTTGTGGCCTCACTTAAACCTTTTATTACTAACGTTTTGACTTCGATAGCGGATGCTTTCGCATCATGTAACAATTTGACAATCGTTTTCTTCGCTTTGGATGAATACTAACTAAAACGCAGTAAATAATCAAAATAGTAGTTGTAACACATCTAATTCTTCTTCTTCCTATGCCGTCTTCATTAACTGAGGTTGGCATTTCTAAAAGTTTCTCTGTCTTTTGCAACGTGGAATAATTCGTCTACAGTCATGTTTGTCCACTTTCGAATATTTCGCAGCCATAACTTCCTCTTTCTATCTATTCCCTTCTTGTTATCGACTCTACCCTATGACCTGCAAAAGTCTATATTTATCTTTCCTCAGTATGTCTCCAAGGTATGCAGTTTTGCGTACTTTTATTGTTCGCAACAATTTTTTGTCTCTACCCATCCTTCTCAGCACTTCCTCATTGGTGACCCTGGCAGTCCATGGAATTCTCAACATTCTCCGGTACATTCAAAGTTCAAAGGCTTAGTTGATTGTAGAGTTAGTTGTTCATTATTTATTGGACTCCTTGATACTATCATAAATTTGGTCTTATCTGTGTTGACGTCAAGTCCCATTTGAATGCATTCACTATTTATTGCATCTAGTAAAGTTTGTAGTTCTTCTATACTCTTAGCCATAATCACCTTGTCATCTGCAAATCTCAGGGTGTTTACAATTTCTCCAGCCATTCTTATTCCCTCTTTTCTTTCCCATAGGGGAAAGGCCTTCCTAAAGTCTATGAAGCATATTTCCTCTTTTCTTTCCCAAGTTCATATGCTGCACTCGGTCAAAGGCCTTCTTAAAGTCTATGAAGCATACATATGCACTCTTGTTATATACTCGACATCTCTGCAAGAGTACCGTCAATGCAAATAATGCGTTGGGTGGCACATTAGGCTTAACAATCTATAGTCATTACATGATTTGTGATTGTTGTTTTTTGGTAGAGGTAAAAATATCGATGTAAGCCATTCCTCCGGGATGTTGCCCTCTACATATGTGTTGAAAATTTGGGTGTCTATATTATTATCATCTAAGGCTTTTAACACATCAACTGGAATTTGATCAGGACCCGGTGCTTCTTCTTGTTTTGCATTCCGTAGGGTATGCTTTACTTCTGAGGGTAAAATTTGTAGGTATTGTTCTTCTTCGCCTATATCTTGTTTATTTTGCCTCTCGTCATGGAACAGATAAATTATATATTGTTCCCATACTTCCTTTATGTTGCTCCCTTTAGTAAGTATTCCTCCTATATTATTTCTTGTTATGAGTGTTCTTCTTTGTCTGGTTGCCTGTAAGTTCTTTAATTTTTTTATGTAAGTTTAAGTGAGTTTATGTTAGTTTTTATGCATGTTTGTTGCCGAGTTCTTCCAGTTCCTGGCATTCCTTGTTCATCTATTCGTCCTTAACCTTTCTGATTTCATATTTGATTTTATTTTTGATGGTTTTATATTTATTTCCATCTATCATCTAATAATACATCTAATACTTAGTACTATAGTAGTATAGATGGAAGGCTGTTATGAAAAATTACCTGGCCATAATGAATCTGCTTGGTACATAAAAATTGGACTAAATAAAATTCAAGGTAGAGAAACTATCTAAAACATAGTGTAAATGTTTATTAAGTCAAATAAAAACAAATGTTAAGAATGAAAAAAGTCTCACAACGAATCCGAAAAATAATAAAACAAAAAGGTTACAAGTTAAAACAATGGAATGTAATATACTATTCTATATATATCTACTATAATCTCATAGAGCTCACCAACTCCTTGGAGCATTGATAAGGCAACTATTTTTATGTAAATTCCTTACTAGAATTTTTACATGTTTGCAGTTGCCTGGAAATAAAGATTATACTGATAAATTCTGATCTAGGCCTGCTCATTAAGTGCAATGGCTATTTTCTTCTTTTTCTTGCCTCTAGTAAATCTAGAAGTAGTTGTTCGAGATAATGTTGGCATGTGGTACGACGTAGATTAAATGTGTGAAAGGAAAAAGAGTGAAAAGTTTATGTCTGTTTACATTGCTACACTGCTCCAAGGAAGAAGTTTGAAGGAATCCTGGCATTGAGAATAGCTCTAATTTAGCGCTTTTGACTGCAATATATTAACTAAAAAGTTTGTTGACTAGTAAATATATTGGAACTTGTATTTTGGGATTTCTGATGAGAAGTGTCTCATAAGAGATGGCTCTCATGACGTATCTTTTTGGAGAGATTAGATCAAGCTTTTGTATTAAGGGGATGTTAGCCAGCTGGTGAATGTATGCTGATAGATAATCAAATCTTTTGTTCACGATACTCCTCAGGATTTTCCTATCAGTATTCCTAATAATTGTGTTGGTCCGGCGTTTCTTAAGCATTGCGCAAAAGTGAGCCGTGTATTCGACCTAAAGGCCTTATGTACGTTTTGTATATCTGGAGAAGTCTGGAGACTCCGACGGTCAGTTCTCTTTTCTCTTGAGAATATACTTCTCAGTTCTTCAAGGGAATTTGGCTTGCCATCGTACCCTGTTTGGAGTATTTAGATTTTAATCTCCCAGTTAGAAGTTTTAGAAACTTCGACTCCCAAATAGAGCTCCAGTTAGTTATTGTCTTCGAAATAGTTTCGTAACAATTTAGAATATCTAAACAATATTATTTGGGTTAACACTCTTGGATTTAGTGTGGCTTTCCATTTTTTGCACGATCTGTACCAAATAAAGATCAGATTCACCAGCATACAGGAGACTGTTATGGGATCGACTACTTGGCTAAGGCAGGTTGTTGTACACTGTGTTTAATATTCGCGCAAGTATTGAGCTTTGTTCAAGTCCTGCTTGAGGTTTAAGAGGTATGGAGAGTTTTTCATCGATCTGGACTTAAACTATTCGATTAGAGAAAAAGGAATTTGCTGTCCAGCTTGCTGGAGTTTATCGATCGAACCTGAGTCAGAACTGATCAAATGATTTTTGGACGTTGAGGAATATGCCCATTATGCTTATCTGTGGTGCTTGTTGATTGTTTGTTAGATCAAATTTTCTGCTTAAATCAATGCATTACGAATGAATTGACCAGCTCTAAAACAGAATGGAATATTGGTGATGATACCTGTTTTGCCTAGAAACTTAATAAGCTGTTCTTTAAAAAGTCTTTCGTCTAGAGTGTTTAGGAGTCAAATTGGTCGGTAAAATTCTGTGCAGGGGTTTTTTCGGTTATCTTCCAGGAAGAAGAAAAATATTCCAGCAATAGCTGGGCGTGGATTATTTTGACTAGCATCAAAAATATACAAGTGTTTTAAGGCATCTTCTGTAGATTACAACTGGGCCAAAAACTGCATTTTTGCCCTAGCTACACATCTTTCTGACTGTTCTTTTCTTTACTTGGATAACCATCAAATGATAATTAACCCCCATGTAGAAGATGCCATGGAAAATATGTTGGACTCTCTGTTCGGTGTTCATGTTAAATCGTTAAATCATGATCGAAACGTAGGCTTATTGAGGATTGAAAAGTGACCTGGAGGGCGTTTTTCACAACGTCCTTGTCTTTATGATTGCTTGAGATATTATTGTTTAGCAGTAGATGTGAGTGAGTTTTTGCTTAGTTAGAACTTTAAGTTTGTTGCCTCCATCTTGGTAGTCCAGAGTATAACTTTACGTGTTTGCCATAGCCCATTAAACAACTCCTTTTTTTATAATAGATACTACAATTCATATAGTTCATTTTAATTTATTTAAAATCCTGTAATACTAACACTAAAATACAATTAATTTATAACATACAAATTTATATTTTAGATTGACTCCTTAAAATCTAATCGCCTTTACATATACTTCGCCTTACTCTTCGAAACGCATCCAGAATCCAGTGGACTTCTCTCTTGAATCGTGGATCAAGTACGTAGTGTGTTCGATCAGAAGCGCAGCAAGGATTTGGCGTAACAATGCATCTCTTTTACCTTTTCGTGCCCACAAATATACATTTGTAAATTGAGCCATAACAATCAGTATAGTCACTGTAAAAACATGGTATTGATCCTCTGTGAAAAAATATGAAATTTTAAATATAATAAATACTCTTTCCCTTCAATTTAATTGTTTAAAGTTTTTTCCGTACCTTCTATAACATTGATTCAAACTTCCTCCTATATTATTTCTCTTGTGTTTATAACAATTGCTATTTTTTCTTACATGCTCCTAAGTTTCATGGATACAGCTTCCTCTTCTTCTTCTAGTATCATGTTCTTCTAGTCTAGAACGTAAAAAATTGCAAGATCTTCAATTTATCTAATATTGTTTGGGTAACAATTTTCGTTACTGCTCATCGACAGAATTAAAATGAGTAATACCAAAAATGTTATTGCCAAATCGACTAGGTGCCAAATCCGAGAAGTCACAAAATATTTAATCTTTATCCAGTAAAATTCATAGTTTTTCTCATTCTCTTGCAATAAATACGCGGAGTAACAAATTAATATTAGTCTAGATACTTCATATTTATAAAATCATATTTCTAACAAACTTTGTAGCATAGAATCCTTACTGAACCTCGAAAAAACGAGAACATTTGTGCGTAAATATTTTGAGATTGTGTGTTGCGTAAATGACTTGTTACTATGTAAAGCTGGCTTCATTATCTTTACAAAGAGTCGTATATTCAATTCTAACTATTCCGACGATAACAAATATTATTCTCTATATCAAATAAAATTCTAATTAGTATTAATAATATGGCGCTTTAGAGACTCTTATTGAATATCTGAAGAAATTAAACATTACATAAATAGTACAATTGGTGTAACTCTTTGATTGTTGAGACGCGCCACTGATAATAATCATCATAAAGTCACATGTGACAACAGGCTGTTTTCAGCTTTCTGGAAACGGAAACAGATCTTTCGGCTCGTGCTCCGTTCTAGACCATTTGTCTGTCAAACCACCCCTCCCGATAAACACATATATATGATCCCATTTCTGGTAAAAATGTACGCGTTTAGAATCTACTCTTTAAATTACCTTGACTTCTAGAATTTCTTCGGAGTTCAGCTAAAAATAACGCGTTTTTACTTGTTTTCCGTGAAGTCACCGATTTTTAGGAGGAGATTTAATCTACATATCATGTTTTTTTCGGATTACTGAAGTGAGATATTGATATAGTCTCATTAAGGGCTTATAAAGATAAATATAGCACCCCAAAAAATGTAAAATGTTAGTATAAGGAAGTAATTATACGATTTATTTTTAAAACTAGCTTAAACTGTATGCAAACTATACCAAAACAAGAAAATACTTGGAAAGAATATAAGAGTAAACATATAAAATAAACAAATTTGAGAAAAGTTGACAGAAATAGAATGGAAAGCCAAGAATGATAGAAGAAAATAAAATGAGAATAAGCGATTTTGTCAAAGCTAGAACATTGCAGTGGCTAGTTCATCTGGTTAGAATGTAGACCAGTAGAGAGGTAAAGAACACAGCATGAAAGAGCACCGGAAGATAAGAGGAATAGAGGCAGACCGATGAGAAGAACCCTCCCTCTTCTCAGCTGTCTGCAAGAGTTACAAGGGTCTACAAGGAAGCAGTTGCGAAAGATCTACAAGAAAAGAAAATAGAAAATTGAAGGAAAGAAGCTAGAGACAAAAGAAGATGGAAGAGAATTACTAAGCTATGGGCCTGAAACGGCCTGCTACAAGCTTTTATACCTATGATGAATATTTAGTTTTAAACAGGACAATAATTAGAAATAACATGGTGAAAAGTATTAGTTCGTTTGAATATTTTTAATTTAATGGTAAAAGGCTCATAGAATTCTGCCAAGAAAACAATATGGTAATTGCCAATACTTGGTTTCAGCTTCCTAAAAGAAGACTATATACATGGACGTCTCCTTCACATACAGAAAACCACATTGTCAGAAACCAGATAGACTTAGTCGTAAATAGCAGATATAAAAACTCTATAACCTCAGTTAAAACTTATCCTGGAGCAGATGTTAACTCAGACCACAATCGCTAGTGGCTGACGTGAAAATAAAATTAAAAAGAATTGAACTCAGAAAACAACAACCAAAAATTAACGTAAGAATGCTACAAAACGAAGAAATAAAAAACGAAATAAAAAATAATGTGAATGTTAATATGCAAAAAACACTGACAACAAACAAATTATGGATGTAAATAAAAAGTGGTGTAATATAAAAAACGCATTACTGAAACCAGCTAAAGAAAGTTTAATAGAACATAAATCAGAGGATAAAAAACACTGGATGACAGAAGAAATACTATTACTGATGGAAGAAAGAAGGAAATATAAAGGAAAAGATCTACAGAAGTATAAAGAAATACAACGAATAATTAAGGAAAAAATCAAAAGAGCTAAGGAAATCTTTTTGATGAAGCAATGTAAAGAGATAGAAGAACTAGAAGCAAAATATGATATGAGAAATATGCACAAAAAAATTAGAGAAGTGACTGGAATGGGTCGAAATATACAGCAAGGACAGATAAAAGACAAAAAAGAAGTACTACTAGTAGATTTACCAGAGAAGTTAAGGCGATGGGAGAAGTACTTTAGAGAACTTTTCCAAGATGAAAGAGGTGAAATGCAGAAAATACAAGAACTAAATCCTTTAGAGATACAGAAGATCACGATAGATGAAATCAAATATGCTATCAAAAACTCTAAAGACAATAAGGTAGCTGGATTAGATGAAATACCAGTAGAATTGTTAAAACTAGTGGAAGAGGACAACTTGGAAGTATTGGCAGATTTATTCAACACGGTGTACGATACGGGAATAATACCACAGGAATGGCTAAAGTCAGCATTTATAACCATCCCTAAAAAACAAGCAGTAAAAGAGTGCTCTGATTATCGAACACTGAGCATCATGAGTCATACTTTAAAAGTTCTGCTAAAAATAATAAATAAGATAATATACGAAAGGCTAGAGGAGGATATTAGCGAGTCGCAGTTCGGGTTCCGAAATGGAATGGGTACTCGAGAAGGACTATTTGCCATCAACATATTAATTCAGCGATGTCGGGATGTAAATGTTGATCTACACTTGTGCTTCGTTGACTACGAAAAAGCTTTCGATAAAGTAAGACATGAAAAACTAATATCAATACTTATGAACAAGCGCATTGACAGTAAAATCATAAATATAGTGCAAACATTATATTGGAACCAAAGTGCCATAGTTCAAATTGATGGGCAACACTCAGAAGAAATGAGGATCTGTAGAGGAGTTAGACAGGGATGTGTGTTATCACCACTTTTGTTTAACTTATATTCTGAAGAAATTTTCCAAAACACGCTCAATAATATCGACGCGGGAGTCACCGTTAACGGAAAATTAATTAATAATTTAAGATATGCAGACGACACTGTGATCATAGCAACGAGTATAGAGGATCTACAACATCTTATCGAAAGCTTGAGTATAAATAGTGCTGAGATGGGAATTACTATAAACGGTAAAAAAAACGAAGTACATGCTGATTACAAAAAGGCCACAAAATATACATCACCTATTGACAATAAATGGTAACGTGATAGAACAAGTAGAAAAATATCAGTATTTGGGAACTTTGATCAATGAAACCAATGATCATACTGTAGCAATAAACAGACGAATAGAGATTGCCAGATCAGCATTTATACGAATGAAGCCACTCCTAACGTGCAAAAATCTAAATTTGGAGATCAGACTACATACCATTCGCTGTTATATATTTTCAATATTATTATATGGAGCTGAGACTTTGACATTAAAAAAATGTAATTTAAAAATAATCGAGGCCTTCGAACTCTGGTTATACCGCAGATTATTGAAAATATCATAGACTGATAGAATTACAAATAAAGAAGTACTTGAGAGGGTTGGTAAAGAAACAGAACTACTTACCACCATACAAACCAGAAAACTGGAATACCTAGGCCACGTGATGAGGGGACCAAAATATGAAATTTTGAGACTGATAATACAGGGAAAGATTCAAGGAAGAAGATCTGTTGACCGAAGGCAGAACTCATGGTTAAAGAATCTACGTGATTGGTACCAATGCAGATCGATTGATTTGTTTAGAGCAGCAAGTTCTAAAATAAAAATAGCCATTATGATTGCCAACCTCCGTAGGGAGACGGCACTCTAAGAAGAAGAAGATAAATTGGGTTAAAATATTTTAATTTTTAAGCTGAATTGAGGTCTTCGATTTTTACTTTTAGTTGGTAATATTATATAGACAGTAATCATAAGAAACAGATGTGGCGCTTATTTCACATGGTGGTAATGTCTATTACTTTTAATTTTTTTTATGATTTAATCATATTCTGCAAGAAATAATTGTCGTAAATAAAATATGCAAAATAGTCTTTTCTTGTATAATTAATTCTATTAACAATTTTTTTTCAAAGATACTTTGTAGTATTTCACAAAAAAATGCCAAGTGTTAAAATCATGAAGAAAAGTTGAGAGCATTATAAAAGAGTGCTGAGGGCAAACGCGTGCAGAATTATCTCGATTTATAACATGCAAAGGTAGTACTTAGTGTTGGTACACCCACAGCTGATTATACCAACATTGTTCTTGGGAAATAATAGGTATTTGAATATGTAAGAGATGCACGAATAGTCTCGAGCTACTCTAGAATATAGATTAAATAAATCAAAGCGTGGTTGCTGAATTCGCTTTAAGAATCCGGATATAACTTCTACAGAATATGTTGCGAAGTTTATTTAAGCAAATAATTATCTGAACTTACTGCCTTGCGGTTGATAAGAAATAACCAACTGTTTAGATATATTAAAGAATTTTTTCTTTCGGATGTTTTCTCTTTTAACATTAACAAAAAAGAAACAGTAGTAAGGTAGAAGTGTACTAAATAATAATATAGGTACTATATCGAACTGGTTAATGGGAGAGGGAAATCGTGGCAGCATTTACGTTTTCCAATGAATGATTACAAATAACAGTTGGTTATTATTTGAGTTTAACCATCATTTTTATATCAGCTTAAACAGAAGAATTTTCTATTGCCAGTAGTGTTTTTATTTCGTCATAAAGTGCACCAGAGAGCCCGTATTTTGGATTATCTGCAGATTACAAGGTCAATCTTGTTATTTTGTTTATATCTATTTACGGCGATTCACTCCTACTACTGCTCTGCTGTTCCCACCATGTTGACCTAACTGTTCAAAGTCAATCGATGATCGAGAATCATCAAAACAACTACAATGT